TCTTTGGGGCCTCCTGGCAACACAACAACTTCATTTAGATTGTTATTTTGGTGCCTGGAGTATCTCTTTAATTCTTCCATTATATTGCCTGCTGCATGGGAATTAGATTGGAAGTATTTCTTTAGTCTCCCCCCCCTTTGCCCCAAGTAGAGTAAGGTTCTCGCAGAGAAAGGGTAATAGGAGTGTGATCTGACCACAAGATTCCTCCAATGCCCAAATTGGATGCCAAGAAACATAGGGGGTTGCAAGCCATGCTCAAATGAGCATACACCCTGCAACTGCCCGTTATTATATTAAGATATTTTTAAAGATATTTCTTAATATGTCGAATTATACTGTGTTTTTTATCTTACATTCAATTTGAGGCTGTTATGAAAGTATGAAAGTGATATGATATATTATGTATTATAAGGACACGGAACTGAATCAGGACATGTTTATATCAATAAATCAAATAAAGACCTACATATCATTTCAGTACAGACAGTGAAACAAGTGTCATATTCAATAAAAGAAAACACTATATTACTGCAGCTGTTGGAATAAATAGGACATGCCTGTTTATCAAAAGATAAAAAATAATCTGCTCAGTTTCAGAGTTTCGGAGGACAAAAAATCTTTTTGATGAGAATTTCCCTTTAGGAACGAAGAGTGCACGCAATGTTGCCCTTTAAACTTTTCAGTGACTTGTGTTAAAGTTTTTTGTTTCTGAAAAACAAATATTCTATGGGAACATTTACTGAAGCATGATAGCCATATAATAGCAGTAGAAAATAGATTTAAAGGGACACTTTAAGCAACAAAACTACTTTATGTTCATTCAGGGGTTTTGGTGTATAAAAAGTGTTCCTGCACTCTGGTAATGTAAAACTTTGACATTTCAGAAAGCGTCTGTTTACATATGACCATAAATAGACTTCTAGTGGCTATCAGGCTGAATGCCACTGTAAACATTTAATTACAATTATTTATACAGCGCCAACATATTCTGCAGCGCTGTATAGTATGTAAACGGGACAAACATTTAATTCTAGCAAATATGTTGGACATAAGGGTAAAGTCGGTGCTCAAACAAGCTAATACTCTAAAAGGATTAGGGACAAATAAACAAAGGGAAGTGAGGAAATCAAATGAAATGTATGAACCCGAAGGGTGGGAGAGGCGTGAGGGAGCCTGGTAGATGGGAAACGACTGAGGAAGGTTTTACAGTATGATGATCCAGTGGTGATTTGATAGGCTTCTCTAAAGAAGTGTGTTTTTAGGGATGTTTAGAAGGACTACAGAGACTGGGAAAGATCAATATGCTGCGGGAGGGCATGCCATAAAGAATGGGTAACCCCGGGAAAGTCCTGTAAGTGAGTCAGGGGTAAAAGGTCGTTGGCAGAATGAAGAGGTCATGTTTGAGCATATCTGCTAACGAGTGAGGAGATGTAAGCAGGGGCAATTTTATGGCTAAAATAAGCACAAGAATGTTTAAATATACATAGGGAGAGCGCAGGTAACTTTTTCTTTGGTTTTTACTGTATGTATTGAGGCTGATGTGTACTGTGGTCGTTGCTGCCGCCCAGCAGAGATGGAAGTGAGCGAAGGACTTGTTTTTTTGTATTTGTATTCACAAAAATAAAGTTACCAGCATACTATCCAAAATCCAATTGCATATTTAAATAACTTGCGGTAACTTTGTTTTGCTTTTGTTCTGTGTATTTGGGATGATGTATACTGTATCCATTGCTGCCGCGCAGTAGTACTAAGAGTTTAATTGAAGGACTTCACCTTGTGTGTTTGTGTTTGTATTTGCTTTTGTATCCCACTGCCATGTTACAATGCTGCCCACCTCATGTGTTCCCTGTTAAGGGTAAATAGTTGTGTAGGGGTTGAATCGAAGATCTTGACATTCAGCATCATCCAGCACAGCGAGAAGATGTCAAACACTGTGTCAAACAATAAGAACCATCGAATTGGCTGAGCCTAGGGATTTCCTGACATATGCAAAAGGTCCACAATGTTTCTCTGTAGAATAGATGTGTAAAGGGTTGTTGGTTTTTTTTTTTTGCTTTTTTACAAAAGAGGGAGTGAATCTAAACATCATAAAAGGCAATATTAATACTGAAAATAAATATATTTATTTTTAACTTAAGAATGTTCATTTAAAGTGTACCTTTCATATCACACACTAGTTTTTCTTATTTTAAAGAGCATAACATTTACTCTGTACATTAAAATTGCTGCCAAATGTATAGCCTTGCATCCTGTCAATCAATTCTTCAGCATAGCTCATTGTGCTGGAGAATTGACTGACAGGGAAAGCAGGAGTCCTCATACAGGTGGTCCCTCTGTCTCAATGTATAGTGACAATGTTAGGGTTAGTCTCTAGCCAAGGCTGCTAGCGCTGGGGAGGGAGCATAGGAGTGTACTGACTGACATCACTCTGTTCAGTCGTTGGTATGCGGGCAATGAAAGAATGAGAAAATCATTTTTCCTATTATACTACAAGTAGCCGAGTTGGAAAAATACCCCCTGTCTCCGTTCATCAATAATCACCCACTCACTTTCTTATTTAGTGCAATCACACATATAACTTGCATTTGTTTTTTGTTATTCTTTATTTTGGTGTGCAGGAATACATCATGGGTATTGATCTAGTACAATTTAGGAATTAATAAAGAAAGTAGTGTTTTAGATCAAAGAAAACTTTGATTATTTGTCTATCTACTCCTTTCTAAATTGATTGTGCGCATGTCTTCTGGAAGTAAATCACACCGGACACATTGCAGGTTTATGAAGAACTCCAGAGTGGCCTTTATTCCAGGGGGTGCAATTCCCTTTTAAAGCAGAAATACATCATGTACAGAGTCACAGTTAACATACAGTATTCATTCAACAATTGGTTAACAGTCTAAGGGGTCTTGTCTAAACCCCCCCTACAGGATGTAGTGTCGTCATTACAGAGTTCTCCCACCCATATTTCGGCTCCATCTTGGTTACACGATGGGAGGGGGGGAAGTGAGTAGTAGTTACTTTAACAGTGATTCTCCATTTTGTTACACATGGCACATAGCTGTTACTTTGCACAAAGGAAGTGGGGGAGGCGTTTAATAAAGGAAGCTGTTCTTTTAACACAGGAATTTGTTACATGAGGCTTGCTCGATGGGAAGGGGGGAGGCTAGCAGGATGGGAGGAATTTGCAGAGAAAATAGTGACTGAACACATTGTAGGGGGGGAAGGGAATATTTACTCTAGCAGCCAGTTTTAACATAGTGAACACAGAATAAATAGACATTAGTAAATAGCCATTTTATTTTAATTCTTCTGTCCATAACAGTAGTATTCAGCAAGTAACGTAATAGGCTGCACATTTTTTTTTTAAATAAAAAGATTAGCACAATGCAACAAAGGTACAAACATAGAGAGAAAACAATGATGCCTAACAATTGCACTGGACATTTGGTCAGCATAAATTGTTGATTACAACAAGCTTGACTAGCTGGTCTGGTTACTGGTGCGTTGGACCGGAGGAGAGGGATGGAAAAACTATTTAGCAAGGCAGTGTACACTCCCGGTCAGTAGTAGAGGGCCAAAACAGCACGGGTCCATGTGTAGTAGATTGTCCGGTCAGACAAGAGTAGCAGGAGCAGTGTGCTCGCCGCTGCGACAACTGCTGGAGCTGCAAGGATCTGTCTGCCCCTTTCGGTGTTCTCGGGTAGCTGTAATGGTGTGGTTCAGCTTGTGTGGCCTCCTGGACCTTGTACTGGTAGGCCTCCTGGCATTCTTATTGTAAGCCTCTGTCTTAGGTGGTGTAGTAGGGGTAGGCTCTCGCTGTTGTGGAACGAGAGTTAGCCGCCAGCAACATATCTTATCCGAGAATTTGGCAAATATCCGGTCCAGCCTAGACAGGACTTATGACTGTTGGACACCACCATCGAGGAGGTAGGGGATATCCGCCATCTTATTGGCTGAAGTGGAAAAGTACACATCAGTGGAAAAGCTTGCCTCCAGGCTAGACAGCACCAGAGATGTAGGTGCCGGGATGACCCTCACTGGCAGGAGAGGGGAAGGTATTACTGCAACAAGCAGAGAGTCCAAGGGCAGAGGAATCGGCTGCCTCCCTCGTGCCCACGTGCAGTAGGCTGAGACTCTGTCTGTGCCTGGAACCGCTGAAAGTAAGCTCAACCGCTTGGCGCGAGATAGGTTAGAGCTCCCACGGTTGATGTGAGTGCCGTAAATGCTGGATAGTCGATTTTGGTCGCTAAAAGTATGAACGTTGTTTTCAGTTCTATCGAGTTCTATCAGCTTTATCGAGATGCGTCCGGTTAGCTCGGCAGTTAGGCCCCTCCCAAACTTGCATTTGTTGTCTGGGATTTATTTTTGTCATATAATCCAAAATATAGTCATTTAAAGTCCGTAAAGAACATAGAAATGTGGAGAGTTAAACTCATTTCACTTGGGAAATGTGTAAATGTACACAGTAAGTATATAGATTATATGAAATAAAATATATAAAATTAAATAGAATCATTTGGGTACTTTTTTACCAATTTACAGCATTCTGTATATTCAGAGAAAAAAGAAAGAGGGTGTACCAGTGCTAAAAATTCCCCAACCGGTGAACTATTATATTACTATAAGTAATTTTATTATAACAATAAATGTATAAAATTATATATATATATATAAAAAACAATAAAAAGCAATATCAAATTGGCATAAAATCCAAAAGTCCAATAGTCTCACAGTCTCTCCAGTACGCGTTTCGCCTTGCAGGCTTCCTCAGCTGGATATGGTGATTCAGACTTCTAATGGATCCTCCCTGCTATATGTACCCCTCTCAGGGGTGAAATAATTGGTATCCAGGCTTATCAAGTATCAAGGCGAAGGGGGCGTGACCTGGACGGGAACGCGAGCGGTCGCATGCTTTGATAGCTCCGCGGCAGTATAGGCCCTCATACACTAATTTAGACCCAAAACTGAAGAATTCTTCGGGCACCCCGGCATTCCAGATCATGTCCCACACCAAGTCTAAACGGGCGTCCAAGAAACAGGACAAGCTCCTATTCTTTAGCACCAAACAAGGGCAAACGCGGGGAGCAGCCATACAGGAGGAATCCCAAGATGGCGCCGAGACAGACGGGGCCCAAGGAACGCACAACGAGGCTGCCGGCCACATACTCACCACGGAGGGGATGCAGGCTATGTTCGACGACATGGAGGCAAAACTGCAAAACACTCTGCAGCGCTCATTCACGGACCTCCGCACAGACATCCACAAATTGAGCTCCCGTACCTCAGACCTGGAAAACCAAATGGAGGTGCAATCGGAGGCTCACAATCACCTATCTTCCAAAGTGGAGGAGGTATGGGACAGACTACAAGACTATGAGGCCAAAATTGCGGACTTGGAAGACCGCGCTCGCCGCAGTAACTTAAGACTGCGGAACGTGCCTGAAACATAGGCCCTCAAGAGCTAGCATGCCAGCATGCGTTAAATAGGGTAGGACACAATTTACGGAAATTGAAAGCTTCACACTACGCGCAGGGGAATAGAGCGGGTAAACTGCTGGCATCGAGGTTAAAAAAGCGACAGCAGTCACAGAAAATAGCATACCTACATACAAAAGCAGGGGGGAAAGTTATGTCGCCGATCACTATTAGCGATGAGTTTGCACAATATTATGGAGACCTGTACAACCTCCGTAATGACGCAACCGTGACCACCCCGACAACAGCCGAGATAGAGACTTACCTAAATAAACTCAACCTTCCGACCCTGACAGCCCAACAGAAAGAAACACTCACCTGACCAGTCACCCCAGAGGAGGTACGGGACACCATACAGACGCTACCGAGGGGCAAAGCCCCAGGCCCAGATGGCTTTGCCAACTCTTATTACAGCAAGTTTAGAGATATACTGGCCCCCTGCCTAGCAGAGGTTTTCAATGAGGCCGTACGATCACAAACTCTACCGGAGGAGATGTAGCTAGCCCACATTATCACTCTGCCCAAGCCAGGGAAACCTCCAACCTATCCTCAAAATTTTAGACCCATATCCCTTCTCAACACCGACACCAAACTACTGGCGAAACTGTACGCCATGCGATTGGGCCCGATATTGCCACACATTATACACGACGACCAGGTGGGATTCGTGACGGGGCGTCAGGGGGCAGACAATACCAGAAAAGTCCTTGACCTCAAAGCCTAGGGGCGACACGGGAGGGGGGGGTTCTGCTCTCATTGGACGCAGAAAAAGCCTTCGACCGGCTGGGATGGGGGTTTCTGCAGGCGGCCCTGAGGAGGTACGGGATGCCGGAGGGTTTCATTTCTGTAGTCAGGGCATTATATTCGGCGCCAGGGGCTCAGGTGCTCAATTCCGGTTTCGTGTCCAAAAAGATAACCATCACCAACGGAATGAGACAGGGGTGCCCCCGTCCCCCCTGCTATATGTACTGGCACTGGAGCCGCTAGCTGCAGTGATCAGAGCTCACCCTGATATCCACGGGGTTCAGGTGGCGGACAGGGAGTACACCCTCAACCTCTTCGCAGACGACATACTCCTGACCCTGACGCAACCGCTAATATCCTTACTGAACCTACTACAGTGCATACAAGACTATAACAAAGTATCCTACTACAAACTTAATCTCACAAAAACACAGGCGATGGGAATTCATCTGCCAGGACGTACCCTACAAACACTGACGAAATCATTCACCTTTGACTGGAGGGAAGACTATATCACATTTCTGGGGATCAAACTAGCCAAGACAAATTGCCAAATGTTTAAATATAACTACGAGAAACTTCTGCAGGAAATTTCTCAGACGTTAGACCAATGGAACAGAGACTTCCACTCGTGGCATGGGCGCATAGCGGCATTTAAAATGTCACTGTTACCAAAATTACAATATTTATTTCGCACGCTGCAGATCCCCATACCTAGGCAATATATGGTCAAACTACAAAAAACCATCACGAGATTCGTGTGGGCGAATAAAACACCCAGGGTGGCTCACTCTACAATCAAAAGACTAACGGGGAGGGGGGGCATGAGCTTCCCAGATGTTAAACTGTACTATAAAGCTGCCATTTTGGCAGCGCTAGCCACGGCACACAGGGCAGAAAACCCACCGCAATGGGTAGTTATTGAATCCCACTGGGCGTGCAGAGCCGGGATGCACCATTTGTTTTGGGTGCCAAAACACCTAAGGCCGACAACACCGACCATGCTAGAGACCACTAAATTGATGCTGCACAAATTGGGAATACGAACGCATGGCGGCCCAACAATTGGGGACAGGAGGGGCAACTATAGAGGCAGGAAAAATCTGGGAACAATACTGGAACACGGCAGAGACCCAGACAACTGGTGATGAGTAGGAACCTTTAGCCTGGCCTACGCAATCTGCGAAGGGATACCCTGGGGGAAAAGCGGGAAGAGGCGGTGTGCTATAGGACCAAACAGCTACAACAAACCCTTCCCAAAGACACCAGGTAGATGCAGCACATACAGACGAGACTAAACCCACTAGTGTATATAAGTTCAACCCCCCCCCCTCCTTTGGTGCAAGCACCTGGAACCCCCCCCCCCCTTTCTTTCCCTCTTGTCCAACTCATTGACGCAGTATCATACGGACCAAAGGTACAACAACATGTGCAGAACAGGCTGGTAAACATGAGGACACCTCTGGGCTGAGGTGCATAGATAATGCCCCCCGACACTGTTTGAACTATCGATATCTCAAGTAAAAATGGATATACTGAATGATAGAAATGTGAACGATACTAACTAATCCCACCCCACCCCACCCCACCCCACATTTCTCTTCTGTGACCCCCGCCCTCATCCTCGGTAAACACAAATTGTATACTAGGTAACCTCAGCCATTCCACCAATAGGAGGTACACGACACAGCGTCACAATGACCCGCGTGTTATAAAGCAATGCTGTACAAATGTAGTGTCATGATTATAAATGCTAATGACCTGTTTAATGTTTAATGCTGAATAATGCTGTATCACTGCAATATCTTGACTGGAACCCTCCCTTTTCCACGACCCTACCCCCCTCTTTATTTTCTGTAACCCCCCCTCCTTTATATGGAAAAATAAAAATTGTCAAATTGAAAAAAAAAAAAGTATCAAGGCGAAAATACAAGCCGGGATACCAATTATTTCACCCCTGAGAGGGGTACATATAGCAGGGAGGATCCATTAGAAGTCTGAATCACCATATCCAGCTGAGGAAGCCTGCAAGACGAAACGCGTACTGGAGAGACTGTGAGACTATTGGACTTTTGGATTTTATGCCAATTTGATATTGCTTTTTATTGTTTTATATATATATATATATATATATATAATTTTATACATTTATTGTTATAATAAAATTACTACTCTTTTATATTATATATTGGCATTTTCCCTGCTATTTTTCAAAGAAGGTGTGTAGTCCTTAACTACACAGGTGTGTGGATTAGAGCCGATCTGGATGGCTCTAATTTTGTGAGTATTATATTTTATATTTATCTTATATTAAAAAATTACGGTACTGCACCATATACGTTCTCTACTTCCATAGGAAATCAAGGATACTCATACACAAGAAGGGTGAGGGTCGCCTTTACGGACCCCAAGAGCGCAGATATTGAGCTATTCCATATTAGCTCCTAAAATTGTGAGTGGGGAATTTTCCCATTCTAATATTCTATACGGACTATATTACGCAGTTTGCACTATGTTTGGTTTGTCTGTTTTTTATGTCTTGTAGAATTTATACCCTAGTGTGAATATAAAGACATAAAGAATATTCAAGGTATTACTGGTGTATGTCAAGTTTCCTATTACTACCTTTTACCTGTAAATATAGCGCTACACCTCAACAGTTTTTGGGTTAACATTCTTTTTTTTTTTTTTTTTATAATTCTTTATTTTTGTAGTGCATACAGTTGGAACAATAATGCTTGTGGTACCCCACCGGCAGTCCACTCGCTAATTTCAACAACAATAGATACAGTGGGGAGTGATTGGACAGTGCACATTTTGAATATGGTATAGACTGACAAAGTACATTTCACAAGCTTAGGTAGTTCGAGACTAGGCTAGTAATGACGCGTGAAGAGCAGAGTTTCAACGTTAATGAACAGGTTAATTAGGCATGTTTAGCTAGTGGGCGCAGTGAGTGTGAGATATGAGCTGTCCATGCTTAGTATGTATCATAAGTGATGTTCAGGTGTAAGTCTGTTTATATGCAGGTATATATGTGTACACCTGGGCTTGCTTTCCTAACATGTTACACAGGTGACTAAGTGAACACAATGAGTTAAGTGCTTGTCATACAATAGCATGGGTAGACAGAACAGTGCTAGGGGATAAGTCTGGCCAACAGAGCTAATTAGTCAAGGTGGTTGCTAGCTAGGAGTGGTTATCGGGACACAGAGCTATTAACACCTCTGTGTTCTGTAATCGTGGAAAGAGGGTAGCACTGACATTGAGAATAACAAGAGTCTTTACATTGCTGGAGATGATCTTGCTGTGTGTTAGCAGGAGCCGCTTTATCCAGTTGTCACCCAGTACCACCGATGGGCTGCAGCAGGGCGTTCAGCATTAGTGGGACCCCGAGATTTTCCGGTCCATGGACCTGTGAACCTCCCCACTGCACTCTGTCATGTCTCCTTGTGTGGTGAGTGCTGTCTAGGCGAGTTCTGCTGCCGGCACTTCCATGAGAGTGTGACTTGATCCTGCTTGCAGTGTCCATGAGCTTTACTGCCCTGTAGTAGACTGGTAGGATAATAGTGGGTGCTTTTCTCTTTGACTGCGTTGTTTTCCTCATTTTTGAGCAGGCGTCATCTTGATCTCTCTGGCAGCTCGCGCACATGGCCGGCGCTCGGCGGCCATCTTGTGTACTGTCGCCCGGGTGATGTTCCCTGCTAGGGTGGTTGATTGGGCCAAGGTTGGTGTGCTGGTTGGTACCTCTGCAGACCGGGATGACCCCCCCGGTCCAGGGGGGGGGGCGGACGCGAACCGCCGGCCAGGAGACCCAGGAAAGCGGCCGTCCCTTCCTGGCTCAAGCCCCAACGAACTCCGAGCCCGGCCGGGTTACTGTCGGTGCCGGACCGGGACCCATGCGGCATCCCCGCTTTCCCCAGTGACTGGGGGTCCTTGTGGACATCTGTGGGACCCTCCGGTCGCGGTTATCCTCCAATTTGCTCCGGTTTTTGGGCCTTGGAGCGGGAGCTCAGACAGAACGCGTCTGATCCCGTCGGCGGCCAGACCCCGCCCCCCCGGGTTAACATTCTGTATATGTCTGTGAGCGATATAATAGGTGGTATATTACAGGAGTTTGGGAAGTAAACTGACAACAGTATCCACATTGAAATCAAATGAAGCCATACATTTTAACTACTGTACAGCTACATGTAATAAAACTAAGTCACAATATAACAAAGGCTTCTGG